CCCCCCCCCCCCCCCCCGCCCTCCCCTCCGCACCTGAATGAACTTCAGGTTCCCGGCGCCAACGGCATCACAGCCTAAGTTCTTCTGGAGGGATGGCTTTCACGGCAAAACCTTGTCGCGAGCCCTCAGGTCCACACATGCTCCAGTTATAAACGGCATAATATAGAAATACTGCATAATTTGTGTGTGGAGCTCACTAGGCATCGAGGGCGGCAGAAGAAAAAAAAACAAACACAGCAGTGCACCCAGCGACCTCGTTCCCTTTCGCCCCTTGCCATCACTGGGCAGCACTCAAGAACCAAGAAACAGTCAAGGGGCTGCTTGAAGAAATAAAGGCATGGTACTGTATCATGGTACCACAGCAAGTCCGAAGCTGTATCACATCTTATCTGCCAGTTGCTGCACAGCTTCTTGCAGGAGTAGATTGAGTAGATTTCCCAAACGCAACTCAACTACCCGGGTCATGTTTGGGCTGTGAGAAGGAGCGCGCAAAAAGTGAAAACCAACACTGCGACAAGGGCTGGTGGAAAACTGTCACGCTCTTAGAGGTCGGAGATCCTCAGCAGCGCTCAAACGGGAGGCTGAGACTTTCGTGGCTGAAGCATGATACGTAGAGCCAGGTACGGCATCGGCTGTGCAAAGTTAAAGATGTCCTCTTCAACCAAATATCAGATCAGGCGCTTGAATGTAGCAGCCAATTTGCTACCCTTCCATGATATCCACGCTCTCCCTAGGTTATAGAAGAGACTTACCGCATGGCCGGAAGGCCTTCGGAAGTTGAAGCCCAGCAGCCCATCCCAGGAGTGTCCAAACTCCGCCTGCAGGCCAGCTGACGTCGGCTTCAGCTTGAACTCATCTTAAAGTCATGATGCAGAAATTGCAAAGATTAGGAATCTTTGGGAAAGCTTGCTTTCTAGGTTGCAAGTTGGCACGCTATCAGCTGGCTCGGAGGCTCGAGAGAAAGAAGTCCAAGCCCCCGCAGGCGGAGCAGTCACCCAGCACAGCTTCAAGACATGGCCCACGATCCACCATAATGTGGCTATCTCCACTATCCCTGCAGAAGGTCCACTCACACCCGCTGCGCAAACGTGTCAACATCCCAAACTTACGCCGAAATCACTTTAGTTCAACTTTAGATGCACTGTTCGCATTGACGAACAGCAAGAAATCAGAAAGGGAGACGATGGATCACCTTCTGAGCAGCTGGGGCTGCGGCTCCACCTTCTTGCTCTGCCGAGCTCCTGGTCAGACGCCATGCCCTTTAAAAGCCCCAAACTGCCCACATATGACACGTTGCCCTAAGGGAACCCGACATAAGGGCTCACATGAGCTGTGCTGGCGGTGCTGGCAGTGGTCTCAGTGGAATCTCCAAGTTTAACCGGCCTACGACTGAAGGCCTTTCAAATGACTCCTTCTGCTCGACGATTGCCCCTGCGCGGGACTATAATTCTGCTTCCCACCAACACAGCTAACCAGGCTAAGCCAAGCGCCTGGCTTCACGGACTGAGCACCGCAATGCAACTCCTCCTGTTGTCCTCAACGCTTCCAGCCTAAATGTTCTAATATCTTCACTCGCCACACGTGGCCTGAAATCGCGACACACGTCTCCTTGAGCTAGGGATGTTTGCGTTTGAGCCTTGAGCCTGCGTACTGCGCTGTCAGCGGTCGTCCGGCCGAATGTGGCTGTTGGGACCCACCGTGGCGATCACCACTACGACTACGAGCCAACCTGCTAAGGGGTCCAAAGGTGAACTCGCGCTCTGCATGAAATTGAATCCATGTCAGTGGGAACCACCTGAGCTGGCTAGCAAATGGCATTCGTAACCTCGGAAGGAAGCTTTGCGTCGAGAAGATGTACAAACGGCACCTCCCTGAACTGCAACCCCAGCCCATCGTCATCATCATGATCCGAAATGTCAGGCATTGGCCTGAAGTCCCGCGTCCGGCACGACGACCTCGGCAACAAGTAGAAGAATGGAAGCAAAGCCAACCTCGCAACCCTCGCAAAAACAGCAGGACGGCCACCTTTCAACTGGCAAACATGTGCACTCAAATACTACCCCGGCAAAGCGCACCAAACGTGAGCTGCCAGAGAGTCTGGAACAGGAAGTGAATCGGCAACGTCAGCTGGCAAAGGTACGCAAAGCGGATGCCTACTTGGATGGGTATTTGCTGCCATCAGAAGTGACTTGCAGGATGGCTGCCGACGTCAAAGACCGACTCCAGAAAAATGCCGCCAATGACCGCAAGCGAGCCTCGGAGATGACCCAGAAAACAGCATTGCTTGGCATGGCAACCGTCACCAAGTCACATGATTGGGCACTTCAAGGCCTGCCACCAGGTCTGGCGCTGCTTGGGCGGGACAACGCCACATGGAAGTTTCAGCTGGCTGCATTGGGGGTGGATGTGTTCACCGAGGCAGTCACATGGTCCTGTTTTCGCCCGCGCTTTGATGGTTGCCGGACGCTGCAAGGGTGTCAGTCGGATGACACGGCCTTCTTGGAGACACAGGGCAACTCCGTCGAATGCGGCGCCAAGGTCACGCGGTGACATTGCACCGCGGATGCTGCTTCTCGGCAAGCGGCTCAAGCATGCCAGCGGTGAGTGATCGACCCACTTACATAAGAATCAACTTTTGCATGTATATGGCTCTGTTGAGACTGAAGAATGTCGATGCACAGCTGAGCGAGCACAGCCTTTCTCAGAGGCATATTGCCACAGCCTGGTAATCTGGCACTGGAGCCATGTAGGCGCCGCGAAAGCGGGTCTGGTGCCTGGCCGCCGCCTTCGCTGTTTTGTTGCTGGATTGTCGCGCTGGTGCACCGAATCGGCAAGCAATTCCTCCTGCTCGGACTGCTTAAAGACAGTGACTCAAATTTGCCAGCAGATTGCTCCACCTGCTTTCTCATTTCCTGCTCGTCATACCAAATGTTCGGATCGATGAACACATGGCTGGACTCGTAGACTGCGTCGAGATGCGAACTGTAACGAGACTGTCCAGCGGTTTGCCTCGAGCTTGGAACGACAGAAAGCTCCGGTGCTGGTGAAGCGAAGTCAGTGCCTTCTTAGCGGTCTTGGGCAGGAAGATGCGCTTGGGCAAGCTCAAGGTGGCTGGCACAGGGAATAGATATTCACACGGACTTGCAAGTGGCCCACAACTGGGCTTGGGGCCCAGCCTTCCACTCCGCTCGAGGATGCTGCATCAACCCTGGCCTCGAAGCTGGCACAACGAAGTCTGAGTCTGCACAGCAAAGCGAGTACAAAGGTTGGCGTCAGCCCCATGAGCTCCCCGCGATGCGAACCACAGGCGGGAGCTCAACCTGCCAACGGCTAACACTTTTTCCGGGACAACTCGCTCTGTCCCAACTCCGAGCCCCGAGCCCTCACAAGCTGCAGTGTCCCAGAGCGGTAGGCGTAAATGCAGCGCATGGCGACCTTAACAAAACTGCGTCAAAATCTGAATCAGCAACAGGCTTGAGCTGAGTGTCTGGCAGGAGGGCGGATCATGGCTGTGGAATACAGTTGGGAATGCCTTCTGCCAGTTCTTGAGCTGCAGAAGCTTCGTGGGCAGAGGTTTGTTGGCAGTGCTCAAGCCAAACATGGCTCTGCAAGAAGAGCGCAGACCTGACCTGAATCCCTCAGAGCAGCACTTGATCCCCAATAATTACTTTTTGCGAAAAGCGGAGGGATCCTCTCAGCCATTGCTGGAATCCGGCGCCGGTTCCTGGGTAAGACTACACTTGTCCAAGGCTTCCAGAGCACTTGCCAAGGCCCTGAGGTCAGCCTCAGGTTTGGCCGCGCAGTTCGAGCGCATGTCCCAGACTGACGCCATCGCTTCAGAGATCCTGGCTTTGGTCGCAGCCGGAGCTGGCTTTGTGAGAGCACGCAGGGCTTGTGCGAGCTCTTCCGTGTAGCGCCGCAGCTCAGCGGCATCCGGCGCAGGACCCAGCAGCGCTTGCTGGACTCCAACTTGCACCTCTGCGACGTACTTCTGAAAAGAGGCTCTCGAGATCTGCTTCGGCAGGGCTGGCAGAGAGGGCATCGAGGGCTTTCTGGCAGCAGAGGCTGTCGGGCCTGGTCTGCGGTCCCAAGTAGTACCCCTCAATCCCCTCACAGCGTTCTTGACAGTTTGCCCCCCGCATGCCCTGCTAGGCTACACGAACAAAGACGATGAGGTCAGCAGCAGCGGCACCTCGACCGACACTGCTGACACCAGCACCAAGTTTAAGTTGAGAGGACCAAGCAGAAAGATATTAATTGACCAAGCAGAAAGATATTAATTATCAACAACACGAGCAAAACGACGACAATAGGAACAATGATGGAAACAAGGTCTGGTCCCGGCCACCACCACGACTATGGTGCGCTCTAGGTGTTCCAACAGCCACCTCAACAGCGAGAGCAGCTGACACCGAAACCGGCAAAGTTGCTCAAGTAAGAACAAGCGGCTCGGATACCCAGCTGCTTTTCTTGAGCTCTGCAAATCAAAGCATGCCTTGGAGCCCTGTAGCCAGCTCTGGTCGTCCGCCCATGACAAGTCGGGCCCCATCAAGGAGCCGTTTTGCGCAGCTGCAGTCTTCCACTCTCTTCTCCATCCAGGCGTCGGCTGGGAGTTAAAGTTTGCGTTTTGCTCTCCAGACGTGGCCTGCAACCGTTGCTCACGCTGCACGACCCTCACAAGCCGATCCATAACCTGCTGCCCGCGCGAGGCGTCACAGCGAGTCGCATGCTGCTCTCGCTTCTGGCGGCTTGTCGGCATGGTGTCCACGGAGCACTAGGAAACATATCAAGGCTATGGCTGTTAGGGCCAGGCAGCGGGAGTAGCGGCAGGGTCAGTGGCCGTAAAGCTTGCTGCTTTGGAGTCTCAGCCGACCGCTGAGCCAGGCACAGCGACAACCGTTGCGGCGAAGGCCAACAGCATCGCGGATTCCTCTGCATCATTCCGTTTATGATGGATGGCTGGGCCCTCTCTGAGGGTCCTTCCCGAATCACATGGTGTTGCGCAGGCTTGGTGTCAATACTGCCTGCAGTGGGCTGCGCAACAAACGAAAGGCTCAAACGCACAGACCCTGCCTGCCAAAACAAGGTTGACCTCCGCAAGTTCTTGTCTGTGACCTCTGTGCACCGCACAAGCACTACTTGCACTACATATTGCCGAGCGTACACCATCATGGGATGATAGCGAAATGCTGCCGAATTCTGGCTAGATTCTAGCAAGCCTGGCGATTAGAACAGAAACCAAGCGACTGCACCATCCAAAGCCGAGCTCAGTCTTCCTTGACCCGCATCCGATTGTCCAACAGGAATGAGGAAGGGCCAAGGACCAAGGCAGCTCCATCCCACAATTAAATAATTTGTAAAGTGTAACGAGCTCACTGGCACTCCCACCAGAGCTGTGACACTTCGCCCATGCCGCACCTCTGTCATGGCAGCGGAGGTGGCCAGGAGACGCGAGTCCTCGAGAAGCCCCATCAGCTCGGCCAAGGAAGACCATACCTTATGACGCTGCGAGAGAGCTCCATGCTAGCGGAAGAAAAAAATGGGTTGGTGGTGTCGGGATATAGAGTGCTCATGGCTGAGGCGAGTGCTAGCAAGTGAGGAAGTTGTGCAACATCGCTGAGGTGGGCCCACCAACGAAGCTCGTTGAAGCTAGCCTGTGGCATGTGGACACCAACACCATGGACACGCTTGCGGCATCTTGCAGCTCTGCTCCTTTGCTCCGGTACGACTACTGCACAGCCGCGCCTCCTCGTGCCATCGGCCCCAAGCAGCCCCGCTGCGCTGCAAGGCCCAGCCTCAAGAAGTTGGGAAGAGTCGCCACAGCTCAGAGAGTTACTTTTTTAGGGTTTGGGGTTTGGGGTTAGGGCTTCTTGGGCTCGGGGTTTCTGGCCTCTCCTCTGGACCGCCGCGCTGCGATCCTGGCCGTAGCTCCGGGCGAAGAAAAGCGGCAGCAGCTCCTTGCTGGGCACCTCCGGTTTGGGGTTTATAGGGGTTTAGGGCCGTTTAGGGTTTAGGGTTTACAGGGGTTTAGGGTTTATAGGGGTTTAGTTTAGGGCTTTGGGGGTTTAGCGGCAACGAAAGGAGAGATCCGAAGACTGGAGAACTGGCTCAGCCACCAGCAGAGGCATGGAGAGGCTGTAGAGCTCATAGAAGACCTCGGCAAAGCTGCTAAAAGCTGCAAGCTGGCAGATCGCCAGAATGGGAGACTCCTTCGAAGCCTTCGAATGTCACGTCCGAGTCGCCAGTGTCTGCGGGTCGTAAGGCAAAACGACTGCAGCGCGGTAAGACGCCCAGGCTGCCCAAGATCGGTCCTCAGTTAGTTAGCCAGATCCAATGCCTTCCTTGCACCGCGGCGAAACGTGGCCTTCAGGTGGGTCATGTAGCGAAAGCTCCATTTCCCCCATGCCCAAGATGGAAGGGCCTGGAGCAGTGTAGCGAGACTTGTCTGCGACAGTCTCTGGAATATTTAGCGCTCTTGCGCTGGGCAGCTGAGAGGCCGCGTTGAGAAGACACTGGAAATCCCAGAACGTGAAGACCTGGCGTCTCAGCAACGCCACTCCGTCAGCAGAGCCATGAGCAGAGCTGTGCGAAGAGGCCTGCTTGGTTATCAAGACATCCTCGCTGCTCGGCATCTGCTTTGGCTGCGAAGATCTCGCATACAGCGCCACAGGCCTGACAGCGCAGCGAGTCGTGCACACTGTGTCCCGTCCACCGTCTGGTGCTGACCTCACGACGGGCAATCTCACGCCGGTCTGCCAGTAGCCCTGGGCTGCTATCGGAGGTGCCATGAAAACCTGGCGGACTTGAAAACTCACTCGACATCGACCCCGAGCAATGGAGACGCAGACCAAGTGCCAAGGGGCCAATTGCAGTGCAGCGTGCAACGACGAGGTGCGCTGGGGTACTTGCGCGACGAAGCTGTAGAACCTTTAGAACACTGCAGACACTACACACAGGCTCCATAGTAGTTCCTTTCTGTGGCTCATATTTGGGATCCTATAAGGTAATCCCAAAACGGAACTGCTATGGAGCCTGTAGGTGTAGACTGCACGAGCCCAAGGGAAGAGCTGGGGCCGTCACTGCATCTGGTCATCCGCAGTCAAGTACGCACCTAGCGGGTTGCCCACATATCCAAGGACCTGAGCAACGAACAGCTATAGACAGCTATAGACTACAGAGTGTTATAGAGTGTTATGGCTATAGCCTATAGCTATAGCGGCACAACCAGCCGCGAACATGACAGGAAGGCAGATGGCATAAGGTTTTGCTGAGTTGCAGTCCTGTTCAACTCGGCGAAGAGGAGGCAAATAAAGGCGGGCTCGCCGCAAAGAAGCCTTCTCAGCTCTGCGTAGTGCGAGCGCAGGGTCCGAGCGCATCTGACATGCTCCGGGTGCACAGGCCGGGCAGCACATCTGCTTGAATCTCCGAAGCGAAGTTGCTCTCCTCGAAGTCTGTGCGGAAGTTTTCGAGGCTGGGAAGGAGTGGGAAATGTCCCAGAGAATCCTTCAAAAACATCGCATAACGGAGTGTTTCTTCAATTATGCAGAGAGGACGATTTGAACCGCTGCTGAGCTCCTCCAGCGTGCCTAGATGCCTATGCAGGATCTCGTTCACCAGCCCGCCCTTCACGCAGGTCACACCCGGAAGTTCGGCTGCACAACCGCGGACGCAGAGCGTGGCTTCCTGCACGGCAGTCGTTTCAAGCGGCAATCTGCACAGTTGTGGTTGATGACTAATGACTAATGTCGGACGTGGTGCAAGCTTTGCGAAGGTCGCCCAGATGCTGAGTGGTTCCAGGAGCAATGTCGGGTGGGTGCTTGTGGCCCATACCCGCAGAACCGGAGGTCCTGCGGCATACATTGCGGGGCGCGGGGACTTCGCGTGCTTCCCTGCAGGCCTTCTGTGAAGCTTTCAACCTCTCCTTGCAACCTCACGGTACCAACAGTGACCTGCCGAGCACGCTGTCTCCAACTGTTTCGGCTCAGCACAGCTCCGCACCTGCTGCAGGAAGGCCTGTGCTCGTGCGAGAGCATGGCCGTCCAGCACCGGACCGATTTCACCATCTGGCAAAGCCTCCGAAGGCCAGCAATGTAACTCAGAAACACACATCTTTTCGCCAGAAATCAAAGGGCCGCGATTCATGGCCTCCAACACGTCCTCCAAGCTGGACCAGCCAGAAGATTCGAGCAGCGTAAGGGCCCGGTGCCTCTCACAGCGAAGAGAAGTCCTCTCCTATCCTCTCTGCTTCTGCCTCTCCTAGCTCTCTCTCACTTAGGGCCTTTAGGGCCTTTGGGGTTTAGGGGTTTTTGAAAGCCCCTGGCCCACCGCGCAGGAGCCCACGCAGCGCCCAGCGGCCTTTGGCCGTGAGCCGGGCCACCGACCTCTCGTCACCAGCCAGGAGTGCCGAGAGCACCTCGCAAGAGAAGAAAGAGAGAGAGAGAGAGAGAGAGTGAGTGAGTGAGTGAGTGAGTGAGTGAGTGAGTGAGTGAGTGAGTGAGTGCGAGAGAGAGAGAGAGAGCGAGAAGCACAAACTCACCTTCCTGTCCTACGAGGCCTACAGAGAAGCACAAACTCAGATTCCTGTCCTACATATACGTATATCATGTGTGTCGGCTGACGTCTCGACTGGGAAGAAACGTCCAAGCCGCGCCTGGCGCCCTTCCTCCTCAAATGCCGTCTCCTCTCAGGCCAAGCATGGCTCTTCTTTTCAGTGGTCTTACCCTGGACCCTAAATCCCCTAAACCCTAAATCCCCTAAGCCCTAAACCGCTAAATCCCCTAAACCCTAAATCCCCTGAACCCTAAATCCCCTAAGCCCTAAACCCTAAAACCCCTAAGCCCTAAACCCTAAAACCCCTAAGCCCTAAACCCTACATCTTTTTTTTGTTGGCGCAAGGACCAACGGCGAGCTTTCGTTACAACCGGCCTCCGGGTCAGCCGCAGCCAACGCCGCGCGAAGCTCCGGCCAGGCACCCGACAGCACAGCCTGTGCTCAAAAACGGCTCTCATGCGAGGAAAAAGGCTATACAGATATACAAAATTGCAGAGCCCAGGAGTGGATGGAAGGTTCGGATTTTAGGAACTCCGGCACCTCTGAACGTCTCTGACCCCCAACCACCACCACCACGTGTCTGTTGCACCTTCTCCACACGCAGCTCACAGAGCAGGGCGGCAGCCCAGCCGAAGAGACAAGGCGGAGCTTCTCCGTGGCGAGTGGAAATCATCCCACGTACCTGCACTTCAACTCAAGATATATGGATTTCCGGTATGCATTTCCGGCTGGAAGGCGGTGCGCTTTCGGTCCATCTGTGGGCACGTCATGCTCGAAATTTGGAATTGGCACCAAGGTCCTTGGCAGATGATCCCTCTTTCCCAGGTGCACGTCATGGCAGATTGTGCTTACGGCAGGAGAGCCATGAGATGCCTGAGCCAGTGGCGCCCAGTCAGTCTTCTGAGCCAGAACTTCCTCGAAGCGTTCGCAGAGTACCTCCAGACTCGAGCCATGCCAATGAGCGCCCTGGAGTGCTGAGGCTCCCGCGAAGAAGACAGCCTGTGATGCTTTCTTGTTAAACAGTCCCTTGCTTCGTGCAGCTTCAATAGAGGCCTGTTGTTGGAAGAGCAGCGTTACTTGCGGAAGGAAGGCCCTTGCAAAGAAGAGGGCGTGGCCAAAGGCCCTGGCCTTGGCAGAAAGAAGTTCAACCCTGCCGTGAACATGTTGGCAAAGGCAGTAGGGCGCATAGTAGTGCCAGGTCACCCCTTTGTGGTGGCTTGTATCATGCACTTGGCATGAAGTCCGGACTCCATAAATGCACAAGGGCGTCGCTGAACCCCAACGTAGACTCACGCAGTGCAGAAAGCAAGCTCTGGACTTGTTCGTTGAATTGCAAAACGCTTCTAGGCGGCAGGCTGCAGCACTTGCAAGGTGCGCTCCGCCTCTCATCAAGGATTGAGCAAGGAATTCGAACGTACATCTCTTAGGTCTCTTACGTGAGCATACAACTGCCACGGGAGGTTCCTTCGCATCCACAGGCCGGAAAGGCGCAGATCCACAACACGCAGTCGAAGTTTCACTAGGCAGCACGGCTCGGATCCAGGCCGAAACGGACGAGCCAGGGTCTGAAAAACAGCAATGCTAGACAGTGTGGTTCGAATGAGTGGCGGCTGTGGAAATCAACATGACCTCGGAAGGAAGATGTGAAGGTACTCGGATGCCAGTTTCTCAGTGCTTAAGCCACCAGAACAATCGGCTGAGGTGTGGAATTGAACTGATCCGGTGTTGGGGGCTGATGACAAGACAGGACGAACGAAAGGCGGCCTGTGGCAGCACCGCTGCTGTTGCTTCAGAGGTTTCTAACTTTGGAACAAGAGAGCCAAAACCGCGACAACCGGCCATCCAAGGTCGGAGGTTCATCCCTTCTTACGCCTGGCCGATGGCAGCGTGGCATGCAGCCCCATCCCATGGTCCGTGCCTTTGGGTCCCGGGATTGTGCACGCTGTCAGTTCCGCACGCAGCTGATTCCAGAGCGGCGTCCTGAACGCCGAGGGGCTTGGGTTTAACGAGTAGCCGGCTTTCATATTGGAATTTTGAACTAGATTTCTGGACCGAACCACGCTTTCGTCATTGCCCGGAGACGACTCTAAGCTCGGACTGCAAACGACCGCAATCACGTGCATAATCGAGATGCTCCGAAGTCCCATTGCTTATCATTGCTTCTTCCCTTTGAGCCAGACGTCCAGGAAGTGTTTTGGGAATCTGCCAACAGTCCCAAGCCTGCAGTCACCCCAAGGCCGTCCTGGAGCATGAGAGAAGTGGATGCGGGACGTAGCCATGGTTTGCTTCCTGCAAACTAGCGGATGGCTGAGGCCCTCCTGCAGTCCGACGAGTGCTGAGCCTTCAACTTGGGAGAGCCCGAGTTAGCCATGCGTCGTTGGGGAACTTTCGCAATCAGAAGCAGACATCGTCTGGAATGTTAGAGTGCCTCATGGCGTCGGAGTCGAGATTCGAATTTGCCACGGTAACGACGATGCCAAGCCCAACAAGCCCAACAACGACTCAAATGCCCAGCCTTTCTTGTTTTTTCAAGCTGTCAGAAGCACTGCGTGCCTTCATTCGACCATAACCTCCTGTTCCCCAACGCGCACCTCAGAGGGGGTTTCATGGCTGTCTTAGTGCATTCACAAGCGGCTAGCGAGTTTGAGTGAGCCCATGGCACAGCCGCAGAAGCAATCCCAATCTAATGGAACCAAAACACTGCAAAACAAGTAGGCAAGGTCGCCCATGCACACAAAGAACTCCAGGACTGCAGCTGGAACTTGTCATTTCCTGTTCATCTTGTGGTCAACTTGCACTCTCTCACAGCCTATATTCTCATTGCTGTACACATCTACGATGCCTCTTGCCCGATGCGATTCCACATGAGCTAACTCTAAGTTCTGGCAAACAATCGATTTCGGAGCAGGCCGGCCCCTAAGCACTGGACCTGAAATTTACACTAAAACAACCGGCGCGTTTTGTCCACTCGCGCACGTCTTCAGGAAGCCATGCCCGATACGCTCTGCTTACGTGCCACTTTTTGGCGATACCGGCACCGACTGCCTGTTCAGAGTCTAGTCTAGTGGCGCTGCTACACCTTCTCGTAGTCGAGCTTGCCTTCAAGCTTCTTGTTGTCTGCCTCATGGCGGGTGACATGTTTCTACAGAACTCCCCCCCATTAGCTTCGCCCCCTGAGGGCCGGTCAATTTTTCTTGCGGCCTGACCCGGAGCTGCAAAAAGGTGTCCAAACGACTCCAGAGGACTCCAATCGAGTGCTCTTTTGTGCCTTCATGAAATCTTCCTCAACGACATAGTCCCGCTCGGCGCGGATGGCAAACATTCCGGCCTGAACTGTGCCGCTCGCAAGACCCAAAGCCCCCCGTGCTCACGCCTGCAAAGCTTGCGGCCTCAGTGCAAATGTTGCGCATGTCCGCGTTGTTGAAGTTGTCCGTCAGTTTGCAAATGGCTTCGTAGTCGATATCCCCGTGCTTTGTGATGGGGTTGGCATGGATCTTGAGCACCTGGCGATCCCATAAAACCCCGAGCTGTGCGGAGCCCAGAGACCCAAGAGACCCAGATCCTGGACCTCGCGCCTCGATCCTGGCTTGCTCGTTCGGCAGCGGAATCTCGATCTGGCACGCAAGCGCTTGAGCCGGCTGCTTCAGGACAAAGGGATGGCTCCTCAGAATTTCCGCCTTCCGGTCCAAGCGCCCCGGCCGAAGCAGCGCAGGGTCCAGGGTATCGGGCCGATTCGTGGCCTCAGGGTCGCAACTTCGAGGCCCGCGAGGAGCCGAGAGCTGCAAAAGACTGACAGACGGGCCTACATATAGGCATATAGGCCAGTCTATTTCGAGCTCCTTCCGCATCTTAAGATCTCGATCCTTCAAAGGCTCAGGCCATGATGATCTTCACGCGGCCCAAATCGTCGAAGCCATCCAACTGATTCAACAATTCCTCAGCACGAAGCCCAATAAGCCGAAGTTGAACCTTGTCCAGCTGGGGCCGGCACCATCAAAGTCCGCTGGATCTCTCTGTCAGCCGATGTGCCTTGAGAGAAACGCTTCCCGCCGATGGCATCAATCCTCAAAAAGCCGCGGAGTGGATTCGAAAGGCGGACTTCGCTGCGTATTCATGCTGCCAGGTGGCTCATCCATGAAAATGATACAGGGCTGATGCTCTTTCGCATAGCCAAACATCTCGCGGATGATTCGGGCGGACTCTCCAATGTACTTGTCCACGATGGCAGATGCTACAACCTGAAGCAGAGTTTCAAGACCTATTTTCGACCTGGATGGGAAGGATGGGAACCACTGACAACTGGCCTTGATGAAACTGGCCGTCATGTTGTGCGCCATGGCCCGCGCCAAAAGCGTCTTTCCGGTTCCCGGCGGGCCGTAGAGCAGCACACCCTTCGGAGACTTGATGCCCACCTCAGAGCGACATGCAACCAGTTCCTTGCACCAGGCTTTCGTGGGGACAAGCGCAGGCTGGACACACGCTTGAAGAGCTCCGGGTTTGTCAACGGCAGCTCGATGACCTGGGCTCCACATGACTCTCACTCCGCCCTCGGAAGACAATATGCTGTCAACGTGCGCTAGGATGTAAGCCAATGTACGCTCTGTAAGAGTGTATGTGCGCACGTATACGTTTACATACTGCAGCCCATGCGTGCAAAGATGTATGGACGGATACCCGGATGGCTGGATGGATGGATGGATGGATGGGTGGGTGGGTGGATGGATGGACTACAAGTTTGCATGCGTGTCTTTTGCTATGACAGTGATACTGTTGCTCCTTATTTCTCGAGGCCACTGCTATCATCCTGGCATTATTATCACCCCCAGCAGCACCATCACCAAATCCACCAGGATCGTCGTCAGAGCCATAAGCTTTACCATAAACGTCCTCACCATCATCAACATCAGCGTCCTCATCACGACTGAACCAGAATCATCACTGCTAATGTGCACTATCCGGACGCGGAGACATTGAGCGCTGGTGGCCCAGGCCACGAGCAGCAGCTCAGCTGAGTCTTATCAACGGCAAGCTTTTCGCCCGATCGCATGATCACAAACTCAGCACGAAAGTCTGTCTGCTTCGAGGCTTGAAGATGCAGCTAGGTGGCCTCTCGCATCTGCCTGCGAGGCACAAGAAGCCCCTTCCATTTCGTGCAGACTTCGAACTTGCCTGATCTGCTCTGTGAGGCCACCAACATCGCTGTAGGAGATCTTCCCAGGATCCTGTGCAAAACGTGCACTTCTTGCAAGAGCACAAGAAGCAGCCGCAGTTGTGTGATAGCTGGCCTCATGCAGCATGCTGAAGACCATCGGGTCGACTTCTCTCGGAAGTAAGCGCATGATCGTCAGAGTGGTCATGTCCAAGGAGACGCGGCTGCCTCACGTCACGAATCCTTTCAGATGGAGACGTGAAGTGTCCCGAGTTGGGCCTGACACCAGCTTGGCCTTGTCCAGCTTTACCTGAGAAATCCGGGCCACAGCTTCAAGACGAGAATGGCGAGGAGAGGCGAGAAGAGCAGGGGAGCCCGGCCTTGCACGTGACAACGTAGCGCGGGCCACTCGAGGCTTTCACAATGAAGCGCTCGGCGTCGAGCTGTCGTAACACCTTCCCAAGGAAGGAGTGAGCACCGAGAAAGCGCCGAGTCTGTAACCACCTCGCCGATGATCTGCCCAACGCTCTGCAAGGCTTTCAGGTGATCCTGCAACGAGTGCATTGCACACAGACGCAAATTGCACAAGTATTGCTAAAGCTCGTCTAAGGGCTCCTCGGACTTGTCGTAGTCGACACTGTTCTTCTTCACGGTCTCCCGAAGCTTCTTCACGCGCGACTCGAATTCGCGGTGCTCCTGCACCTTCGCCACATAGCGCTTCAGCGCCTGAAAAGGGCAAACTGCGCCAACTCTTGAGCAAGTGAAGCCACAGACAGAACATGCCTGAGCATAGGCATTATTGCAACTTGCAGCACTGAGTGTGCTCTGAATCTCTTGACTCAAAGCTTCAACTTTCAGCGCCTGGTCTTGTTCACTGCCCTGTGTCTCGGAAGCCATTTGAGCCAAAGGATCTGCCAGACAAAGGACCGAATGAAGGGACAACCGCAAGACAAAGGCATGGCAAGGACTCGTGAGCACACGGCCATCTTTTTGTGTTCGATCCCTGTGCCCGCCCTGTACAAGCCAGCGAAGGCACGATGCTAGGGCACAGTTGGCCGATCTCGATCAGCATCAAAGAGAAGCAGCATTAACTAAGGCTAAGGCAACTTAAAGACTTAAGTAACTTAAGTCAAAGAGCCGCGGTAAGTAACTCTCGTCATCGGCACTTGGCCTTCTTCTGTAGCTGCTTGGTCTTCATGACAATTTGCAGCATAAGCCTGGAGGCTTCATGTGTCATCTTCGCTACTGTTTCCTCCGACTCCTCCATCCTCTTGCGAGTTGCTATCAAGTCGTTCTCTTCCTTGTCCATGTCATTCATGTACCTCTCAAGAAGAGATCCTGTTCGAACATGCTCCATTGACTTGATGTTCTCACGTAGGCGCTTCTGGTTTTCGAAGATCTTGTTGACGCGGGTGCTGTCCAAAGTCTGCTTGCGCTGGATCTCCTGGATCTCTGCATCCTGGCGCTGGAGCTCGCGCGTCTGGGCCCTGAGCTGCCAAGCCGCATTGCCAAAATCATCGTGCTAGCCTGGTAATTACCAAAGACTACCTTGAACATCTTTTCCCAGAAGGGGACCACAGACCCAGGCAGAGACCTGCAACAAACGCACAGAAGGCCAAGGCTCAAGATCTCCCTCACTTCGGTGGCAAAGCCGTCCGGGTCCTCACAGGGCTCCTTGGCTCTGAAAGGGCAGCGGAGCCAGCAGGTCTTTGCTTTGAAAAAATCTTCGACGAAGGAACCTTGGCCTTTTGGTTTCTTTTGAGGAAGGACAGGTCACAGAAAGAGCAACCTCGGCCTTGGTTTCTTTTGAGCCCCGAGGTTCGTCCGGAGCCCAGGGGACGTCCCGCTGCTCCCAGCCCAGGAGCTGCTCCTCGGAGACTTGCCGCGGCTGGACAAGGACCTGAAGCAGCTCCATCTGCTGATAATGAAACGCATGGAGGCTGATGGCGGAAACTGCTGAGGTAGCGATGGTGGTGGCGTGAGGGCTGGCGTTGATGGTGTCTCCCCATGCACAAGTACGGGCAATGGACGCAAGTGCGCATGGATGAGCATGTGGTAAAATGGTGATCTTCGACGACGAAGTGCCTGAAGCATGGAGGCAAGGCGGAGTTGTCCCAGGCTCCGCTTCAGAGCCCGGAAGCACTCGCCACTGAGGACCCCGTCGTCTTGGAGACGCCGCGCGCGTGTCGCCAGGAACCTTAGCAAGGAACACTCATCGCGCTTTCCGATACTAGAAGATCTAGGAGCGACTGGGACCACCTAGAATGACCTAGATGCTTGGAGATGCTCGGCGCCGTCACGGGAAGGCTCTCCTCGTAGTTGGCCTCCTCGGCTACCTCGCAGGCGCCAATCAGATGCACGGAATCTGAGTCTCAGCATGTCTTCGCACTCTTCGTCCTGAGTGCCTCCAAGGAAAGCTCTGCCTCAGGATTCACAGAGAGGCAGAAGCGCGCCCAGCCCGTCGTCTGCTTCACGCGGTGCTCTGTAGAAGTTATCGAGAAGCCTCCGCAGTCCGTTCGAGCCGTATGGTCGATGTAGAGGCAGGGGGCGCTCCGACTCCCGTTGTTCTTGATGCTGTACAGAGTGGTCACGCGGTTGCGATGATCTAAGACAACCTTGCTGAGCTGACCGTGCTCGTCTTGCTCGACTCGTGTCCGCACCACACGGTCCTCCTGCATCTCTGCGGGCTTCAGGCGCGTCACGGATAGGGTTGTGTCCTCCAAGGTGCCCGACAGACTACAAAACAAAAATTCGGGACGAGACGCCCTCTGCCTACCTACAACTCGGTTCGCGTCTCAGGTCCCATCCTCCCCGAGCTCAAAGAGCTGGTCGTCACCCGGAATCATCGGGGCAAACTGGCACTGGGCAACGAAGCGGCCGCCGTCCAACACGTTGACGCTGCCATTGGCGAGAACGTGGGCCGAGGTGTTCACCACGTGCACCGCGCGCTTCACACAGACCTCAGATTCCTTGGGGTCATAGACAAGGACGCGGTCGCCCTTGATGCTGTGCTGAAAAATGGGGACGATGGCCGTCTCCTTGGAGTGGATGGTCACCTGCACGGCTGCTCCGTTGCGTCCACTAGAAACTACACCTGTTGCCGGTTTGCGACCCTTAGTAACAAGCGGCAAGCGAGCCTTGTCTTGCACGTGGTACAGCACGTGTTCTGCGAGGCCCTTGGTGGCCAGGCCTTCCAAGGACTCGAAACAGTCCTTGCCGGGCTTTTGCTCTCCAGCCGCCTCGCCCCTTAGGCGCAGGACCAGGTGGAGAGTGGATTCCTTCTGAATATTGTAGTCTGCAAGCTTGAAATAGTCCTCAAGCTGCTTCCCTGCAAACATGAGGCGTTGCTGATCCGGTGGGATGCCCTCCTTGTCCTGCGAAACCATAAATTACCGAAAACTTCATCAAGTTCAAGGAGAACAGCTCAAGGATAGCATTTTAAGGCTGTCGGTCCTGGATTTTGCTTTTGACATTCTCGACCGAATCGCTGGGGCTCACCTTTGCGGGATCACAACACGTCTATGTCATGGCGAATGTTTTTTGTTGGGTTAACAATTAATGAATGTAGACGCCCGAAAAAGTACTCCTGGATGCTGATGCCGCCTCCAATGTGACGGTCTTGCCTGTGAGCGTTTTGATGAAGATCTGCATTCCCCCACCAGTCGCTCGCGCCTCATTCACGATCTTGGCTAGCTCTTGTCCTTAGACGATCACCACTGAAACCACGGCCTCTGGTGCAGTTCTGCTGCTACACTAAACTTCGCAGTGTGATGCTGGTGTTGGAGTGCTTGGCAAGTGATCCATGCTATTCAACGCTGGATGCATACACCTGTGCTTGTGTATACAGTATACATGTCGAGATGTTCTAGATTTTTGCAAGGGTTCGAATTCGAACAATTGCAAATTTGGACGAAATTCCCAAGACTTTCTACAATCCTAGCTAAGCAGTCTGAACCCTACAAACAAAGCCTATCATCCTCGACGTCTATGTTCTGTGAAGTCCCAGGCTCTGGCAGGTTCTGCGCCCAGAGCCAGGATCGAGAGCTCATTTGCGACCAAATCAAGCTCCTAGTGCTCGCAGATAGATAGAGGGATGAGGAGCAGAGAAAAGAAAGAGAGATGGACAAACCGACGGGAAGGTATGCCTGCAAAGCATTGCTTCAAAACGTGCAACGCGACAGACTTGCCCGGCGAGCACTCACGGCTCCTCTCCCGCATTTCTGCCTGCCCTGCCCTCATATGCTGCCGAAACGCCACGTCAATCCAGTGGTCGTCCGTGCTGTTCCTCACGTGGCCGAAGGTGTGCAGCGTCACCCCTGGATCAGCGTCCATGTCCGCACTGACCAAGACGGCATCAGCTTCTTCCCTCGGCAGATCGAGGCGGTACATGCACTTCCACTCCTCGCAGCGGTCCTCGGATGCCCGCTGTAGACAGATTTGGCGGCGATATGAAGGAAAGAAGGTGTGGCGTGTCCTTTAGCCTTTAGCCCGGGCAAGCGGCCACATAAGACGCACGGCAAAGGCTCTCGCCTGTAGTGTCGCCTCGGGCTCGAATTGAGATTGCCTCCCGACTATCTTTCGGGGGTGGCGGTGGCTTCGGCATCTGGTTGGCCAAAGCTGTCGTCAAAGACTTGCTGAGCTCTTCCTGCATGATGGTGTCCACCATGGAGACTTGAGCTATCTCCTCGAATCGGACTTTGTGAATGATGCCCCATTGCTCTTCGAAGAGATGCACAGCTGCAACATATTCCTCCGATTCCTTGCAGCCTTCTATCGCCCTTTTCGCACGTTCTACCATGAGCATCTTGCCCGTCACCGTCCTCTTGTCCACGAGACTCAAAGTAAGCTGCACTCCCCGGCACGACTCCAGGAAACTGCCCATGGAGGCATGGTTGAAGGGATAGGAAGATCCGCATACCACGGAGACGCCCGCCTTGCCAAGGGTGGAAAGAGTGGGTGGAAAGCTGAGCCTGGAGGACGCTTTACAACTTTCTTGCAGTGGGACTCTCTGATGAAAGTATGACAAGCAACCCTCGATTTTCAGAATGCCGAAGCAAGCGAAACTAGGTGATGTGCGTTGATGTACTAGCAGCTGAGGCTTAATGATCACGCTGATGGTGCTGGGCTGTTTGCAGGCGGAAGAGCAGCATCCTCATCGTGGTGACGGCAGCGAAAGCACCAACCAGGCAAATACACAAACAAGCACGAAAACAAAGCAGTACACACTGATGGTCTGGCAGCAACTACTTACGTGCTATTATCGAAGCAACTACAACCATCAGATTCACCGTAATTAACAGTCAAAATTCATAGGACAGCTGCCAAGATTTTACAAAACACTTCCAACGTGTTGTTCCGATGATTCTGATGAACAACACACTCGCATCACGTGGCATAGCAATGGTCAACCGGAGTCAATCGACCACATGTTTTCGATCACACCCGAAGACAACCAGTTTAACCACCACCTCCACCCAACACGACCACAACCATTCCGGCCAGCACTATCATGTCAATCACCTGCATCATTTGCAGGCGACATCGCAAAGTAGATGCTTCAACAAAAACCAGCGATGGCTGGTACAAAGTGCTCCGTCGATCCTGGCGGCCATTACACTCGTACTGTGCGACACTACGAGCATCACGGACGCGAACTGAAACCATCAAAGGCAATCATTTTGCAACCTAAACCCTAAACCCTAAGCCCTAAACGTCCCTCTCCACCTTGCTGTCCTTGCCAAAGATGATCGAGGCCCCACCCGGCGCGGAGGCTGACAGTGTGTTCACCACCAGCTTCCGGCGAGCCTCAGGAACCCGGAGCTCGAAGTCGGCAGGACCTGAGAACCAAGAAGAGCCTTTCTGGAGCTTCGGAGCAGCTGTCCGCCAGTTTATGGGCCTATGATGTACGCTTTCTGGAGTTTCAGCTTGAGCCTAGGCTTTCTGGGTCTGAGACGCTCCCTGGGCTTTTCGGGCTTCGGCCATCTTTCCGAGACTTTGGGGAGGTTACGGTTTAGGGTTTAGGGCTTCAGGGGTAGGGTTTAGGGTTGTGTTTAGGGTTTAGGGTTCCTAATTAGGGGCCCCTCGCTGCCATCAGGGGCCTTCGCCGAGCCGGCCCTCCCTGACACAGAAGGCCAGGTTGTTCTTGTAGAGGGTGATTCGAGCAAGGTCCAAGGGCAGCGCCATGGAGAAAAAAGGCCAAGATCGATATCACCGGATAAACAAACCCCAAAGCCTAAACTACGTCACTGCACTGGCCCTCAGCACCCTGGTAAACCATGGCAGTTACCCCGCGCTCTTTCTGGGGCCACGAAAGGAGATTCCGCAGTTCCTCAGTTCCAGCCCTGGTAACGACAGCCGCTCAGAGTCGAATCATGGAAACCTTGGAGCCTGGGCCTGGGCGCACCGAAGGACTTCAGACTTCTGGCCCCTTATAAAGTTTATGCCGCCTCTGCCGTCTCCGAGCTGCCTTACTGCAACGGAGCTTCAGGATCTCTCGCTGAAGATTTTTTTGGAACCTTGCCGTGCGCGACGGGTAACACTCCTGGCCACACCCGCTGAAATCCTACAAGGATCTGCAGCAACACGCGGGAGCTAGATGCTTAGGTTGGACGGCCTCCACTAGAAAGTCAGATGCAGGCAGCCTTGGGAACGCAGTCGCATGGGTGGGAGCTTGCTTCAGAAGGCTCCGGGCATCACCTTGTAACACCGTCCACTTCCTGACATGCCTGCAGCATCAAAAACTCCTAGCCGAGGCCTTCTTTACAGCCATGGCCGTCATCATGACGCTCAGGCAGGCATGCCATGGAGCCCTTGAAAGCAAGCACACACCCACATAACGCCCCGATTGTGGGGTGAAGCAACGCGACCGCTTTGCAACGTGCCGTCTGTGACGAGCTGCAGCTGCAGGCTGCAAACAATTAAGGGAAGACAGAAAGCCGAGACCAAGACTCGCATCGCCCATCATGCAATCACGCTTGGAGGCTCGGATGCCTTGGCCTTGTCTCAGCCATCTGAACGTGCACATGCTCTGTACATGGCAGATCGCATACTTCAAATGTCGAAAGACCTGCGCAGGAAAAGATCTGGCCCGGCAGCGATGCCCATTTCGCATCGTCTGCACGCCGAGCCTTCTAGAGCTTGCTGCGCATCTTCGGGGTCCGTTTGGTTCGTCGAATGCCGCTGCCGCCGCTGCCTAGTTAGCAGAGTAGCAGCTTCAAGCGTGCACGTTGACCGAGGGTGCATGAAGTTTCCCACCCGGGCTCAAGGGGTTCAGGACAGAGGACCAGAGTCTCAGCATATATGGATATGTCACTGAGATCAGTTTCAGGCTGGCTGCTGGCTCAAAATGATGCTTCTTTGACAGCGTTTCCATGTCGAGGGTCCAAAGTAACCATGTCTTTTCTGTGCCAGCCTGTGTGCAAAAGCCAATGGAAAGCGCGTGCTCTCACCCAAATGTCACATGGGATCGCGTTCGGGGGTGGACACTGACAAGCACACTTCCAAATCCGGAGGGGACGGATCAACGGTCCGCTGGCAGCGTCTTTCTTTGCATCCTACGCCGAAACCCACTCCATGAACCTCACTTGGGTTTGGAGAGTCACGAACCCACATCTGGCTTCACATGTGAGCAGGGGCACTACTGAAATCTGGTCCTACCCAAGAGACACAAAATCGAGGGTTTCTCCAAACAGCTCCAGAAACGAGTGCCGAAAGTGACCGTTTCAAGCGAGAAATTCGCAACTTCCGCTAAACCATCCACCAACAGAGGCACCTCGGGCAGCCGCGTCAGAGCACGACAGGCTCCTCGGCGTCTTCGTAGTCCTGGCCGGATCCTGCATGGGTGCGCAAACACACACGGAAGGTTAGGATTGGTTTGATTTAGGCGTCAAGCAATTTTGGCATCCACAAACACGCAAATCAAAGCAGATCGGGGTAAAGCTTCCTCTCTGGGCCACAAGTTCGGATATGGTCATCGCATGGGCAACATGTGGCAGTGTCATTCCGGCCTGTGGAGGGGATCGAGGGCTCCTCCCGCGGACCCAGGCACGAGGACAGCTCTGCGTGCCAGAGTCTGTTGGAGAACGCAGTCTGCGCCAGAGAATGCCTCCGTGGCTAGATGCGGAAACGACGCAAAGCCTTAAACATCACCAAACCCAAAAACAAACCAACAAAAAGGGACTGTGGGCTTCTGGGCCATAAGATGCCCTCCGAGCGGCGCCCACCTCGCCCACGGCCCTCCGCCACCTGAGAGACCCAACTCCAGCGGATCGTTGATCGCACCAAAGCACGGGTCTGAGATCTCGAACTCCACCTCAAGTGTCGCGATCTTCCAAGCTCACTGTAGTAACCATGAGCCACCTCCGCTGAGCCAGAGATTAGACAAAAGGCACCTGGGACCCCGGGCGATGGCCTGATCTCTCCGCCAGTAGAACAAGCTCTGCGCAGCCCAGAGGTATCCGTAGGAGTAAGCCGTGGGCACCGGCCTCGACCACTCCTGCAACGAAACAAAAGAAGATGGATCCGCGAGAAACAATGCAACGGTGCTGCAAACGCACGGTCCAGCACCAGCCCCTTTCCATGCTCACCCAGCGACTCGAGGCCAAAGTGCTCGGCCCTGGCAGAGACCAGCACCTCCGCGAGCCAAAAGAGAGTCAACCAGAGCTGAAGGAGAGGTGGGGGGGTTGCACCTGGCCTGTGCTGACCGGATGGCAGCACGGCCCGCCGCGAGGCGCCCCAAACACTCTCCCGGAGCGCACAGAGCCTCAGGACATCTTATCCCCAACATGCACGCTGCGCGCTCACACCGCGCTGTCCCTCCACGCCCGCTCAAATTGCGTCGAGGAGCCGCGTACTCGTAGAGCGTCAGCCTGGCGTGTCCAAAGCCAGGGTCGGCTGTGCACGGCTTTGCAAAGCGTGCAGCTGTGGGACACTTGAGAGGAGCGCAACGCCAGCAGCTGTGCCGAATCCGCAAGATCTTGGACCACCTACGTGTACTGCCTCTGAAATTTCCACTTGTGCAACTTGGCCCCTTCGCGCTGGCCTCGCGGTGGCTCGGCAAACGTGGAGCCGGAAGGGCTGCGAAGCGAGCCGCCAGGGCTGAGAAGGTGGCATTGGTTTCCCGGAGCAGCGGCCAAAGCTCTTCCTCGGCTCGCAGCCGACCCCGGACTCTCATCTCCCAGGCTTCTCACATCGCCTGGAACCAAGCCCGGCGGGCCCTCCGGAGCGATCCATTGAAGGCCGCAGCCGCGAAGCCCTTAAAACAAAGCAAAAGCAAGCAAGCAAGCAAGAGAGAGCGAGAGAGAGAGAGAGAGAGAGGGAGGGAGAGAGAGAGAGCACCTCTATTGCCGGCTTAGACCCTTCGCCTCCCCGAGCAAGCGCAGCAGCCGTACGCTGGCGGGCGGTGTCTGCACTCCAGGCTCAACTGGAATCCGCAGAGCCCCCACAACATCCCACAACCAGGCCTCCCGCCAGAGCTCCTGGAAATGCAGTCGGTCTGGCTGGGGAGCACCCTGAGCACGGAGCACAGCAGAGCACCGCTCATCCACGAACGCTCATGCTGGCGACGCCATCACCAGGGCCTCCCCCAGATAGCGTGCGGCCAGGGATGCAAGGTCACTGAGACCCTCGGAGCCTCACAGAGAGAAGTCTCAGCGAGTCTCTGCGTAGTGCCGGCGAAGGCCTTGAAGATAAGCAATGCCCGTGGCCTTTCAAGAGGCTTCAGATCACTCCACACTGTGCAGCGCGCTGGTTGAAGCGAGGCTCCGATCCGGGCCCTGCTCCGGGTGCTGGCTGCGTCCGTGTGCCTCTCAGGGTGCGCTGGCTGCGTGGTCTCCGAACGGTGTTCCGAGGCTCCGAGGAAAGCACCATCCGCTCTGCGGCCCTGGCAAGGAGGAGGAGGCCAAAAAGGGGCTTTATTGAGGGCCCAGGGCGGTCGCCTCGACCAGCAGCCGCCGCTGCGCAGCCGCGAAGTCCAGGAGAAGCTCCGTCAAACCTCGCCGCCTTGCGAAGACGAAAGGGCCGTGCAGAGTTCCTTGGGTCGGGTCTCGGAGCCTGACGCCTCTGAGGTGCGGGCGTTTTGGAGGGCAAGAAGCGGAGGAGCTGGTTGAAAGCCCCTCCCAGGCCCGCCGGCCTTCGCCAGGCCACCAGAGCCTGGAGCGAGTTGGCCTCCAGGCGAAAAGCGGCCAAAAAGGCACTCGAAGCTGACAACAACAAGAAAGCCGAAGCGGCCAACCAGTAGCCCCACTGCCAGCCGCTTTCAAAGTTCAGCTGGCCGAGCAGCGGCGCCTCGGCTTGACTTCGGAGGGAAGCCGAGGGCACAAGATCTCTGACCGGCCGCGATGCTGCAGCTGGCATCGCATCCAGTGTCTCTGCATCCTGCCCCCATTTCGGAGACGTGCAGATGGGGTTGGTGTGTCCCAAATGAGCCCTACCTCCAGGCGATCGGATGCATAGATGGGCGCGAGGAAAAGCGGCACGGAGATGTCGTAGTTGACCCAGTACGCCGTTTCCTGAAACGTACTCAACGGACTGCCGTGATGAGTACCCAAGCCCAAGAGATGGGCAAATATCGGCAAAGCTGCATTCAGCTACAAAAAGACATGTTGGCACCCATATATATGCCAGGAACTGCAATGCCATGCTGACCAAATCTCTGGATAAAACACCACCGGCCGGCCCTGTTGAAGCAGGAACGCTGTCCACTCTCCTGAGACAGTCATGGATTCAGGGTTCGAGCTGTTTCTCTAGACGCTCCCGTTGGGTCTTTGCCCCGAGGTGTTCCATGCGTCTGAGGCTCGCAAGTCTGAAAAGTTGGCATTGCCATACGTGGGAGCCGGGTCCGTCAGGGAATATGCTTGCACGGTGTGGGGCATGCTGACCTCAGGGCACTGATTTTTGCTCTGCCAGGACCTAGGACATCGGTGCAGCATGCGCTGCACTGAGTCAGCGACGATCTTCGGATCCGCAAAGTAGTTGACTCGGATCGTATCGGGGCATTTCGGACTTCGACCAGGGAAGTCGCTAAGCCGCGCCGCTAAGTCCAGGGCGATAGTTGAAGTTCAAGGGCTCTCCCTGCTTTTCGGGCCTTTTGCGAAGGAAGGCCAGCGAGTCCGAGTCGCGGCCCCCCCACCCGGGCCGCCTTGGATCCTGGAAGCCTTCCGCGTGCTGCTGCGTGGAGCAGTGGTTCTTCACCAGGAGCCTCGAAGAGCCCAGGGCCTCCTCGCCAGAGACAACGATTCGGAGGATGGGGATGGGGATGGGGGGGCGCTCCCGGCCTGTGTCACGTTCAGCAGACGGGTCAGCTCCACCGCCTCCAGTCCTGAGAGAAGGGACCCGGGCCGCTGAGGCTACGGCGGAACCCAAACGAAAAATTGCCTGCTACGGGACTTGCGAGACTCGCGTCCTCGCGTGAACTCTGTGCTTCCCAACTCAGTTCCAAGGTGGTCGAAGCCGCAGCTCAGCAGCCACCGCACCCGGTCTCGAACCTGAAACTCACTATCCGTCGTGGCTCGCCATGCTCCCCCTTTCGCTCGCTGCCAGCCTGCGCTGCGTTCTCCTCGCGATCGCGAGAGGGCCGTGGAAGAAGGTTCAGCGCGTGCTGCTGCCTCAATGTCAGCGGCACGTCGACGCCCACCTCCCAAGAGAGAGAGACAGAGAGAGCGGGAGAGAGGGGCGGGGGCGAAGGGGGCAGGGGGTGTAGAAATGGCAGGGATCGTGGGCGCTTCAGCCTCCAAGCCCAGGCCGTGGGCCGCATCCACGAGGAGCCGCAGCCGATCTCGGCGCTCTGCGCTAGTCTCGAAGTCCTCCAAAACCGCCGCTTGGAATTCAAGACGAGAATTGCGAGGGATGATCCTGCCTTGTCGGCCTTGTCTGATGCCCGATCGGCCAGCAGCATCCACTCCACGTAGTTCTGCTTTTGAGCAAGCATCCATTCCAAGAAGTCCTTTCATGTCAGACTCTATTACAACTGTTACCATCCACAGCCATTCTGAGTTGGAGGGACTGGGGGAGGGCACTTGGCTCCTCCCAAGCAGCCCAGGCTTCCCGCCACCGTTCTCGGTCATCAGTGTTCCCCAGAGCATCGTAGCCGTTCAAGAAATTCGTGAGCTCCAGGGGATGTTGGGTGTGATAGTGAGTGCCTGCCGCAGATCTTAAAAATCTCGGAGACCCCAAGCACCCTGCGACCAGACTCCGCCCAAACATCGCACGTGTTAAAACGGAAAGAGCGGCCTCGGAAGCTCCACCGAGGAGTCTCATGCACATCCATAGGGAGGGATCGCCCAGTGAGCCTCGCAGCTTTGGGGATAACCTCGGCCCCCAGCAACAGGCAGTCTCCAACACCAATAACCCTTTAGGCTCTTTAGCCCCCCCCCGGTTGCGAAACTAGTGTGCCGGCCGCGGCACTGGCTTCAGCGGATGCAAGAAGCCAAACCCCAGCCGCTGCAAAAACTCGTAGAACGCGAAGCCCACAGCTCGTCTAGTCCTACGAAGCAAGGTGAAGAAAAGGTGAGGATGAACTTCAGCAACTGCTGGATGGTTTGAGCTGCGCCTCCCAGCACAAACCACCAAGATCCGGCCCGATTCGTTGCGGGCCCGGAGTAAGAAGGAGTCGGGAGTCAGGTCCGCCAGCTCCGCGTCCGACACTAAGGCCCCTTAGGCGGCTACCGAGGATTCACAGGAGTGGGGCTGACCTAGGACGATGATGATGTGGACGATGTAGATGATGGAGCTAGGTCATCATCCTCACGACTTAGGTCATCATCATCCTCATCCTCCCCCTCCCAACGCCCCTTCTCCGGGTCCACACGGGTTTTTTGCTTTGACGGTCCTCCTTAGAGTGCTCGACTCCTTGCTCCGTTGACTCAGGACTGGCCCGGTGACCGCCTTCAGTTGCGGCCGGGCCGAGGCGGACGACGAGAAGCCTTTACAATTCAGCATGGTCGTCATCCCATAGCTGATCGCTTGGCATTCAAGAAATCCGCCCGATATTCTCGAAAATTCGTCAAAGAAGAAGTTCAGGCGAGAGGCGCGCTTCTGGCACGCTGCCCAGAGTGACCACGGCAGGAGACTCCAGCCCGACCTGACCAAGCAGCGACGCGTCTCTTTGGAATGTGCAAAAGAGCACCGCCCGGGTCGCGAGGGTTGAGGGTTTGGCCGGGTTTGGCTGTTTAGTAGTTAGGCCAGACCTAGACAAGGCAGTCCGAGGGTCTTCCACAATGCGCCCTCTCGCCCCCCCTTCGCAGGTGCTCGACCAATTCTCAGGAGTTTCCGGTAGTTTCAGGGTTTATAGGCCTAGGGTTTTTTGGGGGGATTGCCCGGACTCCCAACTCCTGCTCCAGCCGCAGCCCCGCGCGGCGCTGCAGGCCTTCGAGACCCGGCGCTGCACCTGGGGCATTCAAGGGGAGAGGGAAAAGATTTAGGGGGCCCCCTTTAGATAGGAGGAAGGACGTCCGCCACTTGAGGGCGCTAGCGGCTACAGACGAGAGGGCGCCTTTCTCGTCAGAACTCCCTTGCCAAGAGGCTGATTGTTGGTCTCTCGGCCGCCACGAGGATGAAAGGCGCGAGCACCAGCCTTTGCTGGAGAAGTTGGACGGTGACTGCAGCCACGAACTGGAACCATCTTCAGGCGGGCAGCAACCCTTGCTGCCGCCGGAGCCCGAACATGGCTCAGCTACGCTTCCCGCCTTTTAAAATGAAGTTGGGGGAGGCGAGGCGGGCTCTTGTCTCGTGTTGCGTCCAAGGTCACACTGTCACTAGCCATTCTTCATTGCACTTTGTTTCGTCTGACCTTTTTGCATGCCAACTTTAATTTGTTTCAAAGGAGGACGCTCCGGCTCTCAGGTCGGCTGTTTGTGCGCTTCAAGCCCCCCCGCCGTTGCGCTTCGAAGCGGCCTCGCATCAAAAGGGGACAGGACGAGGGCCAAGTAGGCTCGGCAAGCCGGGAAGCGAGCGTCCACGCAATGCAGCAGATCCCTTTTTCGTGCAGTCATTCAGCTTGAGCTTGAGGAGCTATCGCTGGAGTCGCTGTCAGAGCTGGATGAGGAAGACCTGTGAAGGGCAGGTAGGTTCAATGAGTCTCTGGGGCAGCGCGAGACGAAAGTTAAAGGCCACTGCTCCTTTTTCTTCTTTGCCTTCTTCTCCTTCTTTTCTTTTGCATCCTTCACGCTTCGGGGCAGGTAGTGCAGCGTCGGAGTGCCACACCGACAAACCGGCCCATCTTGCCAGCCTTCTCTGTCTTGGGCTTCTTTTCTGGGGGTCCTGCAGTGTCTTTCCTGGCAAAGATCGGGCGATGGAGGCAAGTACGACACTTCAGGCCATGGCCTGGTTCCGAATCGCGCACGGTCGTCACCTGAAGGCCATCCCGATCCTCTACCATTAATTCTATAATTTAAGTATGCTGCAATGCTCGGACGCTACCATTTCAACACCAAACCCCTCTTTCAAAAAGAAAGCACCGAGGGCCAAGCCCAGGAAGGCGTTGAAGGGCACCTCCGGCGCCTTTCCACGAAATCAGACATTCACCTTTTTTTGTCACAGCCTGAAACTCGCAGGCCTCTTCTTCAAGGAAGGCCTGCTTGAAGCGTTTCTGCTTGAGCTGTCGCGAAGCGCTGGCGCGGACCTGCCGTGAAGGCTGCACCGGCCGTAAGGATTCTGGAGGAAGGGTTTGGGTTTGGGTTTGGTTTCTTGATGGGCGCCGCTGTCTGGCCGGTTTGGGTTTTGGATTTCGGGTTAGCTTTCAAGGCGCTGTTGACACATGACATGCGACGCGACATGTCTCCGCGCCTGGTAGGTGCTTCCGTTCTTGCACTCGTACGTCCAGTGGCCCGGAGCTAGACACTGCTGACCTCATTTTGGGGCTACGGAACAATACAGAGTCCTTCACCTATTTCTTCCCATTGTAAGAACCCGGGCAGATGATCTTGGCCTTGTTAGCAGCCAATGAGGCGCCTGAGCAAGAGCTGGAAAGAGCTGGAAAGAGCTGGAAAGAGCTGGAAAGAGCTGGAAGACTGAGGAGGCAGGGGGTCGGGGTGATCCGGCCTAGCATCACGGCCCCCAAGCATGCCTCAGCGCGGCATCGTGGAGGCCCGAGGACCGACCCGACAGAAGCCGAGGTCCCAGCGAAAGGACCCTCGTGGCCCTGCCCTGTCCCACGGGCC